TTTGTGGTTGGCTTGGAAGTAGGATTGGCGAGACTTCATAGAATTGGCGAGAGATCGTGATAGGCTCTTCGATGATAGGGTCATTGGTTATAAGCTCATCAATTGTAGGTTCTTCAGTTGTAAGGTCTTCGGTTGTTGTTGCTACAGATGTAGGTTCGTCAGTTGTAAGGTCTTCGGTTGTTGTTGCTACAGATGTAGGTTCGTCAGTTGTAAGGTCTTCGGTTGTTGTTGCTACAGATGTAGGTTCGTCAGTTGTAAGGTCTTCGGTTGTTGTTGCTGCAATTGTAGGTTCTTCAGTTGTAAGTTCTTCGATTGTTGTTGCTACAGTTACAGGCTCTCCAGTTGTAAGATCCTCAATTGTCTTCATTATAGTTGTAGGATCTTCGGTTGTCTTTGCTACAGTTGTAGTCGTCGATGTTTTTGGCGCTCTTGTAATATCAATTTCCAGTACTTCCGTAAATATTGGTACTATTCTGCGAGGAATTCTCGCTGTCATAGTATTAGTGATATTATTGGACTGGCTATGATTAAGACGACAGATCCAGGGATACATATCACAAGCACGCGAATATTGATGTGCTGGGTTCTGAACATCTAAATCTATCCGATTGCTTTTTGGAAGACCTGAAATAAAAAAATACTAATTAAAATTTAGATTTGATTACGTTGCTCAGTTTAGATCACAACTTATCGCATGTTTGATTGAATAAGATGGGTGGTTTCAGGCCAAATGCAAAATAATTTGCGCAATCAACAATTGATTTGATAAGTTGAAATAGTACTGATAATTGAAGTTCCATGATCAACAAGAAAATTATTGTATTGATATTTTGATTTGATCACAAATGATAATAATATTTTAAGGAAAAGTAATTATAGAATTAAAAATATTATCATACCTTCCATCGGTCCACAACTGTGTGCTATTAGAAGAATGGAGCAACTGATTGCAATATGAAAAAACATTATGAAAGGAATTTTGACCACAGAAAACAAAGAACCAAATTTATCAACTGCAACATATATTTGATAAAAATTTGGAAACAAAATTTAATTTGTTAAAATTTTCAATTAATAACAACAATACATTAAACATTACAATTAATTAATAAAAGGCAAATCGCAGAACATACTGAAAAGTGAAGCAATCTGCAGCTAACACTATGCGTATGCAAATTAAAATATTATTATTTAATTATTAATGATATTAATATAATTATATACTATCCCATTTAAGGTAAAGTGACACAATTCAAATGCTTGTTTAACTGATATACTGATAACAATAACGAAATATTTTGCAAATATTGAATAAGAGAAGAATAGATGTATGATAAGAATAGATGGACATTATGTAATATAAGAATAGATGGACATTATGTGTGATTGGTTAGAATTGAACAATTTTCTTATATATTCATTATATTATAATTTTAATGCTTTCTTTGATAATACTTTTTGATACAATAACTATTACAGCGAAGAGCAAAGTATGAAATTTCTCGCAGACTATTACTAATTTCATTTATTCATTCTCAAATAATATCTTTTCCT